AGTTAAGTAAGAATCAAACCATCTCAACTCAGTGCCCGATATTCCAAATTGGTCTTTTAATTTATGAAGTAAAATATTATGATCAAGTGAATCAAAGGCTTTACGAATATCTAGAAAAACGATGCCACTCAGTAGACCATTGTCCATATTTTCGTAGAGAGCATCGCACATCTGAGTCAGGGCAGTAAGAGTTGAGTGTTTAGGCCGGAAACCATGTTGATATTTTGAGAGGAGCGAATTGTCATTAAGAAATTTGTAGATTTGATTAAAAACACATCTCTCAAGTATTTTACTGACGATAGGTAGGATTGATATAGGGCGATAGTTTTCGCGCTTTAACCTATCATCAGATTTGTAAATAGGAGTAACCCAGGCTTTTTTCCACTCATCAACATATTGACCTTTTTCAATAGAAAGATTAAATATCCTGGTTAATGACGGGCCAAGAATATCCGCAGAAATTTTTAAAGCTTTGGCAGGGATGTTGTCTAATCCTGTGGATTTTGAGATCTTGAGACTTCGCAATTGATGTATTACTTCCTCCTCATTAATTTCAGAAAAATTGACTATACAAATACTAGTATACTTCGCACCATTACACACTTGCGACGACGAAAATCAAGAAAAAACAAAAAAAAACAATCCATGGCCAATTTTCAACTCCGTCGCTAGCGCCGGGGTAATTAGTTTTTACTAAATTATTAGTTTTTACTTAAACAAAACTCACTATAAACTATTTCCCTCGGGAGCATACATTAAGTGTATAATATATACTTGCAAAATGTCCCAAACTCTTGCGTTGGGAAGGAAACTCTGAAGTTTCATCACAACACAGATTGTCTCTCTTGCAGCTGTTATATTCGTAACATGATCGTTCGGGACAGAGATTGCGAGATTTTCTATGTAGGGACATTCGTATTGATATCTTTTGACCAAGGTTTTGACAGGGGCGCCGTGGCCGGGGGGGGGGGGGGGCCAGGGGGGGGCCATGGCCCCCCAGGATTAAAACCTGTCGGAAATTTACGAACATTGCATGTTGTCGGAGTATATATTGTATTTTGAACAACCCAAAAGTATTTGAACTATCAGAAAATAGACGCGGTTATTTCTAATATTATACGGTACGACACTACCCCAATTTTCTATTATACTGTTGTCGCGCAGGCTAAACTAGCTGTTTCTTCCGAACGTTTCCGGTTTCCGATAAACATATTTTCTATTAATATAACATTACGCAAGGAATGTAATTTTCGAAATGTTGGAGATTGGCGCGATAAAATCATGAATGGTGATGTACTTTCGAACGCATTTATTGTTCAGTGAGTTTATACAGTTTAATGCATTATATGGTGACCGTCTAAAGAAACACCAGCATGTTCCGTATCAGAATGCTGGAGCTACAGCAAATCCTTTTCAAGTTAGTACTTTTAGTCAAACGGTTCCTGAAGTTTATAGCTACAAAGATAAGGTACCACGACAGTACAGCGGAAGAACTAAACTGATGAGAGGATTGAAGCAATTGCGAATGTTTATATTTTGGTTATAAACAAATGTTGCGTATGGAATACGCTGTATGCTCATCCACTAAGATTACAAAGCTATAATAGAGTATCGTGAAATAACGTATCGCGTTATTTGTTAATGCACGTGGATTAGAAATCTCTGTAATACAGTTTTCCCACAAACAGTTAACTGTATCAAAAATTATTCAACTACTCAATTGAAAAGCGTATGTAAAACGTGAATATTTATCTGTCATGACTGTCATATTCATTGTGCATGAAGCTTCAATTTAAATTAGTAGTCGTAGCTCGTGATCTTTGTCATAGCAAATGCATGCGCGTCCTTGCCCAAAACCCCCTGTCAGCTTTATCAATATTCGTTACTTTTTTCTTATAAAGATGTCGGAAAAAAAACGTGCTGGTCGGAATAATGTTGCCTTTGGCCACCCCTACATTAGCGAGCTTTAGCAGTGACTACGAGTACGACTACGAGTACGAGATTCGTCATTCTCGCGCGTTGTTTGCTTGCGCCATCAGCCAAAACTCGTAGTCGTTGGGCTTTCGAGTACGAAATTTGCCAAAAAACTCGTACTCAAAAGCTCGACGAATACGAGTTTTGGCTGATGGCGTAAGCAAACAACGCGCGAGAATGACGAATCTCGTTCTCGTAGTCGTACTCGTAGTCACTGCTAAAGCTCCCTATTAGCACACCCACGGCGCCCCTGGGTTTTGATAGCCAGTTGAAAGCTAGTTTCAGCTGGGCTGAGAGGAAAAAATAAAATTACCTTAAACATTCTGAGCATGTATACGCTTCATTAGTTTATAATATAAAGCAAGCGATCGGAGCTCAACAAAAGGATTTACTCCTGTGAACTAATTGGTGCGTTGTTTCTGCAGTCTCGCAAACTTACTTCTCTTTCAATCTTCAAAGACTCCAATAATTCATCCTGCAAATCAATACTGCGACGACGTTTTCCCCAGTCAAACACATAAGCAAAGTGGGTTCGCCTATTTTGCCAGTTGTGACCGACTTGGAAGTTGTGGTTTCGACGATAGTTGGCGTTCAAACGTGTTTGACTGCAAATGTCAATAAAATATGCATCAATTAGTATAAGATATACTAATGCCTAGTGGTTGTCAGATTGTGTTAATATAGTTGGACTGGCAGAATGAAGACATAGCTTACACGCAGGCTCTCTTTTATGAGAGGTGCACGCCATACAGCTCCAACCTTCAACCTAACCGGTTCTATAGTATGTCATAAGAAAACGCTTTATATTCTCAGTACCTGCATTATCCTCATACCTGAAGATAAGCTAGGATAGTGTGCGGGGACATGCACATGCTAGAATAAGTTCGTTATGGAATAAAATCGTTATATGGAATCCAAGGAAGCCGTGATCTTCATGTATGCTTTCGTTGTTGATCAGATGCACACGTGTTTTACGGCCAGGATATGCCAGAAAAAAGCCAACAAGTGCAAGACAATATTGGCATGGTAACCCAGGACAACTGAATTATGGCGTTCAAACCCACGAGCAAAGCAATGGAAGAAAATTTGAAGAAGCTCATTTTTAGTAACATTTATAAAATAGTGTCAAAATAAGTACGTACACGGCTTGGTTAGTTTTAGAAGACTTCGAAGTCTTCCTGAATTTTTTTGTAGGTTAGTTATACACAACTTATTAAATAGCGAATAGAAAAGCTTGAATTTTCATATTTTCAATCACGACCATGAAAGATCATTTTGAACTATCTATATTTAGTATTAGGAAAGCCTTGTTACGACGTAACTTTAAATCAATCTTTTATAACAACTATTTTCTTATACATATATCTCCCTTTGTATAATTAATTTAGTAAGCATGTGCATTAGGTGAGGTTTAATTAGGTGAGCTCAACTCTTAAATCCAGATTATTTAGATAGTGACAGTTAGAATTAAATGTTAACCCTGGTTTTGTTAGTATACGATGGAATACTTATCGATCAGAAAGTAAATATTTGTAAATCTGTACTTAACATGCATTGCTATGTGTAATAAAATTTTAATTTTTTGTACTTCAACTTTTTAAGCAAATCAATTCTTACTATTGTTAGGAAGGATTTTAACTGGAGAAAGTGTTTGTTGCATGATTTTTTCGAATATTAACTGACATTGAGATGAATTTATAAATTTGTATTTAAAATAATCAGGTTATTTAGATAGCTTTTTTACCACAATTTTCACAAATTCTTTCTTCAAACGCAGGACTGGACTTTTGGCTACTGTTTGTCTGGAAATATGATATTGGTATTAGTCGTAGTTGCCGTAAGAATTCGTCTTTCGTTAGCTCTTCCGGACCAGAAGCATAACACTCTACCACAAGAGGATGATATAAGAAGTCTTTCAAAGGTACACCACGGCGACGACGTTTTCCTCTTTGCCTTTGAGGTTGGATGAATCCTTTACCGATTAGTCTCGTCATGCATGATTGCTTCGCTTCCTTTCCTTGAAAGTTCCCCTGTTTTTTCACCTTGTTAACTGCAACTCTTTTTCCTTTTGTGTCGGATGTAAAATGGAAATGCTCTTCCGAAATATGAGAGTTGCGAATTGATTTTTCTTCCTGGTCTTGTTCTGACGAATCTTCATGTTTCTCCCTGTTTTCTTGCAATAATTTTATCGTTTTCAATTGTTCATTGAGTCGTTTTTTTAAATTTGCAATTCGCATTGTAGTTCGGTTTACAAAGTTTACTGTAAGTTCCTCGGCTGTCCATAGTTCCTTCATCTTAACGATGCTTCAGTTCACGACTATCTTCATCCGTGGGGTTGGCCATTGATCTATCACATGCACTCTTGTTCGAACTATTTTTTTTTTCACTTACCCGTAGCGAAACTATCCGACAGACTCTTATCGTTTTCTATTTCGGCAACTAAATTGATATTCTAAGTTCCGTTAATCAATTTCTGAATTTCAAAATCAATGAGATAACATCCAGAATTTTATTTGATGCCGTCATCTAATTAAAACGGTCGTTTAATTAACGCGTCAGTTTCAAATGTCCTCGTGCGCAAAATCACAGATGAGATATATACAGATACGAACTGAAGCCAAATCGGTTTTTCGCCCAATGTGCGCATGCGCGACTTGGTTGGCAAGTATCATGTTGAAATTTATTTAGTAAATCGATAGAAAAATCGAATTTTTTTACAAACAAATACCGATTTAAACAAAAACCTTTAGTGGATGTCCCATTTTACTTAAGACCTATAAAATTTTTAAAAAGAAGGATGGAGTGGATTCTGAGCTAAGAAGTGATTCATGAAATTATTTGATGCTGGCAAAAACAAGAAAAAATACTAGCTGAAAAAAATAGGAGTGCGGGGCTTGCGGTATAGAAAGCGGTGCAATAATTTTAAATTAGCACTGGTTGAGCTTTTTTTCAGTTTAGAAAACATGTCATACATGCTTTGGATACAATATGTCTTTAAAAGATAAGAATAAGTGAATCAACAAAGGTGTTGTGGTTAATTGGCTTTTAAAAATACGAAAAAGAGATTACTGTATATTTGAATAATGCAAGATTATAACTAAAGTGCGAATTTATGCCGTCGTTAACAATTAATATCGTGCTAATGTTCGGTTTAAATTTTATACGTTGAGAGTGAAACATAATTTCAATAGGTTATACTTCATACAGAACTTAGTCTGGAGTCTGGACGACAAAAAAATTACATGAATAACTGACACACAAAAACAAAAGTAATGAACATTAATGTTGAGCTTGTCACGGCTGATGGCAATGCCTTGCTGTCTAAGGCTAGTATTGGTACCTGTGAGAAAAAAATATATAATAAAAACAATAGAATTAGAAAGTCAGGAATATGAATATGAATATGATTATGTATTGGTTTAACGGGGTATTTTAGAAGATATATTTATTCTAATGATGTTATGATGCATTGACTAATGTATTGACTAAATACCTCGCTAGACACAATTCCTTTCCAGTAGGAATCTTTTTTGATGGCAATAGTTGTGTGAAACTGTATACTTGCATCGAAGGGGACAGGAGAGATCCATCTGAATGTTAAACTTGCTTTGTTTGCGGTATTACTGTGCGTAGCGGTATCCTGAAAGAAATGAAACTGATAAGACCAGGCTTAATGGCCCTATTCATGAGGTGCTACTCTATATACACGCCCATGCATGCATGGATAAGACTTTCCTAGGTCACCTAGATGATATGAAAAAGATAATAAACTAGCGGTGTAACTTCATGTCTGCAATGTCTGAGCGTCAGTAAGGGTCTGCTTTAGGCCACTTCAAGATTTTTTTAATTCCTCCATATCCGACTAAAAAGATTGTGGGCTGGGGGCGGCATCTTAACGACCTCTTCACTCATTGAGAAAAAAGGGGAAAATATGAAAACATTTTACATTGCCATGATCGCATTCTACAGCTTTCGTGTTATCCGGTACTGCGACAAATTCTCCCACTGGCTTCGTATCTCCAATCTTTCTTGCCTGTAGAATGAAACCTTGGAATATCGTGGTATTCTCTTTTGGTGTTATCATTACTTCAATTTCATGTGACGATTTCATTATCTGGACAGTTAAATTGAACGGGTGATCTCCACTTAATTTCTTTCCGTGACCTGGTGTTAGGTTAGAACACGTACTCTTAGGCGCACCATTTGGATACCCATGGGCTTCTTGTATTACCAACAGCTGAGCAAAGATTGTTGCAATAATGATAAGATATTTCATAGTTGCTGCTTCTTTCAACCGTCGAGTTGTTTTGAGTACAATGATTCCTGTCTTTACACTGTTCCCTGAAAATGATACGAGTCTATGACTCTATGTTACCAGATTTTTATCGTTAGGCTGGTTTCCATCGTTAGGCTGGTTTCGCCCAGTGGAAAACTAGTGGGCTTACCCAAAGCCGCAGTATACATTTTCGAGTTTTGAACATACAAGAGTCTGGCCAATACGAATAAATCATATGACCATATGTAAACTTGGTTAATTTACGCACCATTGCCAGTAAGCATTGCGTAAACATTGTCAGAAATAGGTAAAAAAAATGCGAAATGCATCGTATCGATAAAAGCGATGATACCAAATCATAAAGACAAAGTTAATACTTTAGGTCCGTTTCTTTCGCCGTATTTCACAGCGCAGTCCGAGCATTATAAAAAACTATTATTGTTTACGACAGGGCAAAGTAATATAGCTTTCCATTTCTGGGAATGGATGCTACAGATACAGCAGATTTCTGTGTACGGGAGAATGGAAGATACAAAATATTGAAAATAAAGAAATAAACACTAGTTACACTATACTACTGCATGTGGTTTGTAGTTGACGTATCTGAGTTACAGCTGTTCCATATTATTATATGCTGTCGCTACCCATCATTAATTCAACTTTATAGTGAAATATAGACATTAATATCGTCGGATGTTTCAATGTCGGAATAATATTGGGAATACAAGCTCAGTCATTGTGAATACGAGCTTTAGTGATGGGAATACAAGCTTTAATGTCGGGAATTCCAACTTTAAAGTTGCGAATACAAACTTTAATGTTTAAAATACGAACATTAATGTTGCGAATCATGACTTTAATGTTGAAAATGATATATGAATTTTGGCAGACATATGACGCCATACATTAAAATCATTTACATGAGATATATCTACACGTATATTACCAAAAACGTCGAAATGATCCGATAACCCAGATTGTTTTCAGTGGTTTCTCAATTGCCTGTGGTAATTCTAGAGTTTAACACCACTTGCGCCACAAGAACAAGTCAATGGCTATCCTTTTGTGACTTATTATGAAATATCGCACCTTAGCTCCGGAAATACCACGATCGTACAATATTGAGAAATTAACCCCAATTTTATGCCCTTTTTAATTTCAGGTATGATGTATCCTGCCTCCCGCTCCTTATATGTGCATGTTCGGATGTAAGGGGTCTCAGCACCCTTTTTTAAATTCTAAATGTCAAGTTTCCGGAAAAGGGTACTAATGCAGCAAGCCTCATAATCTTGCAAGTTCAGTAGCGTTGGCTGCGTTGCTACGCGTGACGATTTGATATTTTGGTGTTTATTGACTGTGAATTAAAACAATAAATTAGCATAGCGGGATTAAAGCCCCGTACAGACGGGCAAGTTTTCCTTGACAAGGAGCCTTGTTCAAAAGGTAGTCATGCCAGCTTTCCAAGTAAGGAAACTGCGCAACAATATCTTCGAGCCAATTGAGCGGTTTTTGGAATATTTATTATTTTTGCTTGTTTTTGAGATTCAGTATATACTCATTTTATCATATTGATTATTGTCGTAAATATACTCGAGATATGTATAATCGTAAAACTTGCCAAGAAAAACTTGTCAAGGAAAACATACACACGAGCAAGTGATCTGGTCATAGGCGTACAGGTCTAGAAATTTTGGGGGGGCGGGGGATAGTCTGCCCGACGAGCGCCGAAGACCGAGAAAAACAAGGATAGTCCAGGGGTCTGCTCCCCCGGTATTTTGGAACGTACAAACGCTAAAAAATACCATTCCCTGCTTGGATACTATGACGAAACTTTAACAGCTTTCACATTATTTAGGCATTTTGATAAGTTGATTTCCACTCATAGCGAAGCGTGTAATCGGAAAGGGGAAATGGTTTTGCGGTGTTTAGGCAGTGGCGTAGCCAGGGTCACTGTTTTGAAAAGCCGAGATGCGAACGCCGAAGGCGTGAGCCATACTCCCCCCCCCGAAAATAGGCATGCCCCCCCCCGAAAATTTTTGAAAATTAGCGACCCGCAAATGTGATTTCCGCGTGAGATTTTGCAGAATAAAGTCAGGATTCTGAGATCTATCCAGTGCATAAAGAACATGATTTCCTCCCCCAAATGTACAGTTGCTATAAAAGTTAGTAAAGTTACAAACTTACAAAACGATAGAAGTGTTTCGTAACTACATGGTGAGTTTTGTTGCGCCAATCAGTTGTGGCACATACGGGAAGCCAGTGGCACAAACGGAAAAGCATGTTTATTTCAATTATTTTCGTTTCCTTTAATTCTGGTTTACGCAAGCTGCAAGCATACATATTCTACCATATTCTACCATATTTGAGCATTCATATTTTTATGTAGTGTGGAGAACATAAGTACAAATTGCCCGACTCGTAAATACAAATTGCCCGACTAATTAATATTTCTGACTAAAGGGTGGGGCTACCGCCCCCCCCAGCCCCCCGCCTCGTACGCCTATGAAACTGGTGAACTTGAATGTATCAAAAGTTTTAGATTCTGAAAACTTTGCGATAAATTTTGATTTCCTGATTGACGTCATGTCCGGTAACTCCAAAGGCTAATAAAACCATTAACTATGGTATAAGCACTTTAATTCAAAATAATAAAAAGCGTTTCTTTTTTTATGAAGAAAATAGGAAATATTTTTCAGTTCGCAGCCGTTTTCTGTCGGCGTTTTCACAGCTTCACGTCGGGAAATGAATTTCACAAGAATTGTCGCTTTCAGGCTAGGGATAAGCGAATACACCGTGGATCAACGTGGGACGCTGGGAGGGTCAAAGCAGCAGTGAGCTGGGTCAAAGTCTCAAAGAGAGTCGTGTGGTCCCTTTTACCATACTTTCCTCGATACTTTCAAGAAATTATTTATAATATTTGAAATTTGATGAAAAAAGCTATAAGTAGAGATTCATATATACGTGGTAATAATTTATTATCTAGTAAGAGAGATTGAAAATGGTGTCGCTCTAATTTTCATGTTATTAAAGATTGTAATAATTTGTGCATGATGCCTGAACTTGTGCAATCTTAATGGTGGTAGAATGAAATTGTCTCTCAAAAGAAACTGGTTGGTAGCATGATTCCCAGGCCCCATCCAATCACTTTATACAACACTGGTATGCTTGTATAAACTAGATTAATTAAGTTCTTCAAAAATCTTGCCTCATACAATATCATTTTGATTCATCATAGTGTAGTTATTACATTTGATATTATTTTAGAAAAGGGAAGTTAGGTTGGTATTTTGTATCGAATAAAAAAGGATGAATTTTGCAAGTAGACTGTCAAGGCAGGTGACCAGGTATGGCACATATTTTTTATGTGTGTTAACTTCTTTATCTTATATACAACCAAAAATAATGTCTCAATATAAGATTTTCTTAGAATAGTCTGTTAACTTAAATTGTTATTTTCAGGTTGGATAATATTCCTCGTGGATTTTCAAGGGTGCAATTGCAACATGCAGGTGCATTTTACAGTACACAACATCTTTGTTATTAGATGTTAGCTGGAAATGTTTCCTTAAATCTAAAGCTAAATGCACAAGAGATTAATCAGAGCTGATGTTTATTAAAAAGCTGATTGCTAACTAGTATTGATTGTTGAGAGCTGATATTTACCCACTATGAACCAATAAATTGGAGACTGAAGGTTGCTTGTCAAGGCACATGAAATATCGGAGTAATCTTTTGAAATATTGTTTGTTCCTAGCAAGATACAATTCAACTGAACCTCGCCGAAGAGGACCACCAATGGTACATATTCTATAACATTTCAAATTTATTGCCAGTTCTACAGTCATATGTAACAGATCATGTAGATTCATCATGTATATTAAGAGAACAAAAACATGTACTTCACCTTTGATCACACAATTTTAAGCCCTTGTTTTAGTTACTGTATAAATATTTATAAGCCCTTGTCTTAGCTTGGTTACCTCCATTTCTAAGGAGTATAATCCATTTAATAAGACTTATCTTTTTCTAATGTCACAGAAAACATGTGTTACAATATATATGTGTTACAATATATTAATACAACTGTAGATAATTATTTTCCCACTGCATTTGTATATGAACTTTGCTTTCAAAATTTTATTACTGTATTATATAGGTTACTGATGATGTTCCAGTAGATACAACAAAATATTCTGATGTATTAATCAAGCTTAATGGTTATGATCCGTCTGTATTAACTTCCTTCTATCGATATGTTGACCAAGCAGCTAGGAATATGAAATTTGATGTAACCAAGAAGTATGTCGAACTATTCACACTAGGTTGAGCATAGGTACAGAGTTACACTGTTCAAGCCATAATTTCCCACATTACAGGGGCTTGAAAATACAAGGTAGTTAGAATGTTAAAATCTTGATCTCCTAGTCTGATATCAATTGTGTGTATTTGCAGGTTCAATTTAGCTACTGAGGCATTTAACGTAACCTTAGCTAACCCACCACATTTCTTTCGTGAAAAAAACATGCAATACAATTTCAAAAATCATGGAAGAATGATTCAGGTTTGTATTTCCTTTTTAAGTAACAATTCGTCTGATCTCCATTTTTTAAATCTCGAATATCAGAGGTTGTGTAAACACAAAACATGATAATTAATTTCTTTGGTTGCAACTTGCAATTTCTCTGCACTGTACGTATGTTGTGTTTAATTTTTATTTTACTTTGCTTGTTGGTGAGTAAAACAAATATTTTTATTGCAGCATTTATTGCATCTTTATTGCATTGTAGATTGTATCCATTCCATCAGAAATGGCTGACATATTCATTCAATGTCTTCAAAAGAACATCCCTCCTGGTGTTTCTGTACAATTTGAGTTGGTAAGTTTTTTTAGGCAGTATATATGCCTAAATATATGTTAATGCTTGCCATTTTTGAGTACTTAAAAAGATAAACTCTGAAAAACTCTGTTTATCAAACCAATCCATATAGCTGAATTTGATTTGTGCGATGGCAGGGGGCTATTTTGCATTGTAGTCCTATTTTATAGAAAAAGTGGCAAGATTTTGTTTCACCACCAAGTCAAAGATCCGGTGAGATTGTTGACTAGAAGAGCGTCCAATGGGGTTGAGTACAATCAAGTCTGACAAGTCATGTATAAGCATGCTAGGATTTGAAGTTGGATTTGGTCTGTGCCAACAAAAACCTGATGATAATAATTTTCTTGTATGATTTCAAAAACCTGATGGATGCAAGGGATGTGCAGTTTTTCTTGCAATTGCAATACAATGAAAGAACTTCCTTGGAGCAAGCCTTGTATATAGAGCGTTGAACCTGCTTCTTCCGCTTCTTTGTTCAGAAACCTGGAAAAATTCATCAATTACACTACAGACAAGCCTGTGATCAGGATGAATTCATGCGGGCAAGTAAAATAATTCATGTTGCAGATAGCAATAACACCTTGCATCTGCAGTATTCCCAAAATAAATTGCATATGTATACGGGGTGAAGTGAAGTACATGTACTGGTATTAGACCTCGTTCACTTGACTCCAGAGACTTAAATGTCTTAATTGTATTGCAAAAGGCTTTTCATATTATATACATGTGCATGCAACAAAATTCTCAGTTGCAAAATGCAAATCGCGGTTCTTGCAGAGTGGACGTTTCAAAATTTACCAGTTCAAATTTTAACCAATGCAACCTTTGGAACTTTCTCCATTCTGGCTCAGGAATTTAGTTCTAAAGAGCATTTTATCCATTTACGACGTCATGCATTTATGAGACCCAACGATCAGACCATGCAGATACATATAGAGCGATGCTGGTGTTTTCGTTCAAAAATATCTTGGAGCCGTAATAATAATGGGTGAAAGGATTTGTTAATACTCGCGACGATCTTTCAAAATTTTATTGTGACTTTGCACAGTGTTTTATAACACTTGTTTACACACATATCATTCGTAATAGTAAATTAAGCTTCCAATAGTTGCTGATATTCCATGGCGAGCGTAATGAGAGTGGCGGTAAATTTTTTCAGACCCAGCAGTCTAGCGCCGTCAATTACCTCTCGGCATACTGGAGATTCTGGAGATTCTGCGGGAAGCTGTAAAAAAAAATTATTTTGCAATTAGTCGTTTTTATAGAATTCTAGATTGAAATATGTACATTGTCATAAAAAAGCACGAACACTTCCACTGTATTCCTAGGGCACGCACATTTCCGCTGTATTCCTAGGGCACGCACATTTCCACTGTAAAACTAAATTAGTTTTTACTCGGGCCACTGTGGTAGCCGAGTATAGGTTTCGCGATTATTATTTTTTTTTGGGTCGCACATATTTACAGTGCATATGACATGTTCAGTGTGTTAATGATATAACTCGGTGCTCAATGCAGTCCCCAGTAACCCGACCGCGTAGCCCGAGTTTACGCCTTCCTAGCGTCTTGTTGAGGTATGAAAAGTAAAATATGTCATAATAATAAACTGAGTAGACTTTTGGATAAACGCCGATTACTTCAAATGCCCATCTTTTTAAAAATTGGATCAATAATTTTCTATACGTGAGATAATAAAGGTTCTATTTTTGGACTAGTACAATATATGTACAAGTGAATTAACTCACCTCGCAAACGTAGTCACTCTCAGATTCAGTTTCATCTACAGAGTCAACACTGAAGAAGTCTTTAACTTCAAAGCTGCGATTGTGATACTCGATCATTTTCAAAATCTGAAGAAAAGATATAAACCTCATTTTCAGTAACGACGTCATCCACGTAGGCAAAAATAAGGCAATTATGGCCGAGTACACAGCTCTCTTCCCCACGGCCACTGTGTGGAGAATAAGCAAGTATATATACTTACAAAATGTCCCAAACTGTTGGGAAAGAAACTCTGAAGTTTCATCACAACACAGATTGTCTCTCTTGCAGCTGTTACATTCGTAACATGATCGTTCGGGACAGAGATTGCGAGATTTTCTATGTAGGGACATTCATATTGATATCTTTTGACCAAGTTTTTGATAGCCAGTTGAAGATTCTTCAGAAAAACGCTGGGCTGAAAGGATGAAATAATTACCTTCAGCATTATGAGCATGTACGCTTCATTAGTTTATAAAGCAAGCGATCGGAGGTCAGCGAAAGGATTTGCTCCTGTGAACTAATTGGTACGTTGTTTCTGCAGTCTCGCAAACTTACTTCTCTTTCAATCTTCAAAGACTCCAGTAGTTCATCCTGAAAATCAATACTGCGACGACCTTTTCCGATATGCCACGTATAGGTAAGTTGGGTTTGCCTATTTTGCCAGTTGTGACCGACGTTGACGTTGTGTTTTCGACGATAGTTGTAGCCCAAATTTGTTTGACTGCGAATGTCAATAAAATATGCATTAATTAGTATATGATATACTAATGCCTAGTGGCTGTCAGGTTGTGTTAACAGTTGGACTCGCAGAAGGAAGACATGGCCTACATGCAGGCTCTCTTTTATGAGAGGTGCATGTCATACAGCTCCGACCTTCAACTTTACCTGTTCTGTAATATGTCATACGAAAACGCTTTATATTCTCAGTACCTGCATCTTCCTCATGCATAGCTAAAGATAAGCTAAGATATAGTGTGCCGGGACATGCATGCACATGCTTGAATCAGTTTATATCAATGTGATACGCGGATTCGAGCCATGATTTTAGAGTAGCGAGTAAAATTGTCCACGTTCTTTTTCTCGATGCGGCGATTACCTGGATTTCCAGTTGTGAGCGACGTCGAAGTTGTGGTTTCGACGATAGTTGGCGTTCAAGCTTGTTTGACTGCAAATATCAATAAAATATGCATTGGTATAATACATACTAATGCCTAGTATTATTCGGATGCAGTGATTACCTGGAATGGAAGTCCTGCTTCAAATTGGTGTTCCAATTTTTACCACGATGATTGTAGCTCAAATCTCTGAAGTTGAGGTTTGTGTTGTGTCGTCCATTATTGCTTTGATGATTGAGGCCGTCATTAAAATTGAAATTGGTATTTCTCCCCAGTCGGTAATTTCTGTTCCATAATTGTGCCGAACTAAATAAAAAAATGTCATCAAAAACCGCTTGCGTGAAACTGTCATGCAACCAACTCTGACAAGTTATCAGAGGATCACAATTCACATGCAATAAAAGCATTTATGTAAAGGCAATTTTATTTTCTCGATTTTTGTTTTCCCTTTTTATTAACCAGTCAAAAACTTGGCATTCGGTTGTCAATATTTCAGCCATACTCTGTACAACGTGGATAGTCACTATTTGACCCTCATCAATTAATTTTTGCACGATAGTAAACATCAATATATAGGTACATATAACACGATGAAGAGATAAAAGTCCCCTTATCCTTTGATGCAGGATCACATGCAGTGATCTCGAGGCATCAGTGCATGTAACTCATCGCGATCGACGTCGTTCTAAGAACTACTTACCTAAATCCAGCTGCCAAACAAAGAACAATAGAGAAAAGGCAAGTTACAGCGAGCTTCATCTTTTCTTGAACCAACTTTTCTAGAACCAGTTTAACACTCTTCGAGACTTCGACAGTTCGACTGTATGAAAGCGGTAGAAAAGATCGCGCCTTATATACTCCTGGTTGCACCTCAGCCCAGAGTAAAATTTAATCCGTTAATTGCTGCCAGGCTTTAGCATTTCCTGTTTAGTTCTAGTTCACGGGCTTATCAACTTCCTTTCAGCAACTTCTGAAGAACATGTACGGGGATTAATCGTGCGCTTCAGCTGGAAGAACATTCCAAAGGTGTTTTGAACGGGCAGGAAAATACATTTGGCTTAGCATCACAAGGGGGGGTGTAGCAATCACGCGCATGCATCTTAACTGCTGAATGGCCAAATGGCCAAAAAAACAGATAGGCTATAAGTTTTATTATTTCATGCAAGCCAATTTTCTTGCGCTGTGGCCTTTACATGTTTTTTTGTTTGTTTTGCAGTCCGGTAGTCATGCATGCACCGATGCACGGATATTTTTTTAATTCCTTACCAACGTACTTTCTGAAAGTTGATGAGTGGAATTTGACTAGTTTGTTTGACTATGAACGGCAGTAAAATTTAGAGAAATTCGTATTCAACTGTTAACGTACATGGCCTATATAAAGTCGTAAACTGTGTAATTGCATGCAATGACTCTACCTTGTGCGCAGACGCCAATTTGAGGACAGAATAATAGTTATTTGTCGTTATGCTAACGTCAAGTGAAATGGAATATATTTATGCAGGTATAACGTGGATGCACAGCAAATCTGTATGCATTTTATTAACGTTTGGTTTCCAAAACGTTTGCGATGTGCTAATAACTCAAATATCAAGTATTTTTTACATCAATCTGATTATCTATTTTCGTTATAAACCAGTCCCGTTTGATTCATTAGGATGCTTTAACACCGTTCATACCGTTCATACGGTGTTAACGCATTAATCGGAATGTTGTCCGACTAAAGCCGTGATATTTTTAATCAGGATATTTAATTCACATTTTCCTTGCTTTTTTAAAATTGAAAATACCACACTTGAGTTATATCAGTCAATCTACCTGACCCTGTACTTTGCAAAACGAAACCCGAAGACAATAAAGTGTCAATGTGTCATTCAAGCTTCATCATCTATTGTGTGACACTCATATAAACGAGGACTATAATATAAGGCGCCTAATTCGGATTATATCGCGTACGTATTTGCACAAGTGTTACAAGAGCTCCTGGTTTGTGGAAAACAATAATTATATCAATTGATTGAAACCTCAAATGACCTACTATCAAGTATGAAAACCCATTGGTTAAACTGTATTTAAGACAATTAAGGAAGAAAGAAGTCGTTCTGTATTAATTTTTTTAGGTAAAATTCGATTTTGATGACTTTGAAAAGTTTCCAAAATTCCGCAACATCACGGGTGTTGATGCTGTGGTTGGACCCGGTGATGTCTTGTACATTCCAAACTACTGGTGGCATTACATTGAGTCAGAGAGTGACAGGTATAGCATACGACAACAACGCCATTAAAAACTTAGTAATATACTAATATAAAAATTAATATATTAATGAATCTACCAAGGGCTTGAAATTTCCAGCCAGTTCGAGGATCATAAACATTTGAAGGGAAAAACTTTTTCAATTGAAATTAAAAATACACGACATCATTCTTGGAATTTTTCCCCTTTTCGTGAATAGTAAACTACAGTACTTCGGTAAGATTCGGAAAATTCGCGTCGCGTTGCAGAGTCACGTTCGATGTGCGTGTCGTGCGGGAAGTTTAAACGTGTGAATCACGTCCGATCTGTGTTGTGCGGCCATGTGGGAAGGTGGAAAGGTTTTTTCAGGCAGTTGCTTAGTTAACTCATAATTCGGTTCACAGTTGATAGGTTTTACCATGAAGGAATTAAGCCGCCGCCTAACTTACCGCTTGTTGTATGATTCATCATACTTGATACTATTGCTGTTATTGTTGTTGTTGTTACTGTGGTTATCGTTCTTTTTTTTCTTTCTTTTCTTTCTTTTGTTTTTTTCATATTTCGTTATTGTTGTTGTTTTTCTTGTCGTCGTTGTTACCGTTGTCTTTGTTGTTTTTACTGTTCTTGTTGCTGCTATTGGTCAGTCAAATTCCGAACCTGGTAAGTGGCTTTTCGTTGGAGCAGCTGTTGGATTAGCTGTTAAGCGTTTATTCCCAGGGTCCTTTTCAGTAGTTGTGAACTGTTCCTGCCATCTTGTTGGAACCTATAGGGGATGATAAAATGAAGACTGGACGGCTCCCAATTTTCCGGTTGAGAGAAAACGGAGAGATATTCTGAGCAAACGTGTGATCGGTTTGATTTTCAACATTGGTTATCAGAGTTATACAGCTCTAGACCTCTTGAACTTTATTACATGCATGGCGAATTTCTAAAAATACTGGTAAATATGCGCCAGTAATATAAAGTATAAAATTGTATTTAATTATTGCATTTCCGTTACTAGACTTTAACGAGCTTCATGCAAGAATAACACAATCGCCCCACAACAGAAAGCATGCGTCAATGATTGAAGTGCCCTGTTAAATTTTAGCGTTTAACATCCAGGGGGGAAGGGAAGTACATGAACTGGTATGAGACCTCGTTCACCTGACTTCAGAGACTTGTATTGTAAAAAGGCTTTTCATATTGTATACATGTGCACGCAACAAAATTCTCAGTTGCAAAAGGCAAACCGCGGTATAATGATATACGTTCTTGCAGAGTGGACGTTTCAAAATTTACCAGTTCAAATTTTAACCAATGCAACTTGCTCCATTCCGAGAGGCTCAGAAATTTATTTCTAAAGAGCATTTTATCCATATACGACGTCATGCATTTATCAGACCCAATGATCAGACTATGCAGATACATATAGAGCGATGCTGGTATTTTCGTTCAAAAATATCTTGGAGCCGTAATAATAATGGGTAACAGGATTTGTTAATACTCGTGACGATCTTTCAAACCTGACCAAAAATTTTATTGTGACTTTGCACAGTGTTTTATGACATTTGTTAATTTTGTTTACACACATATTATCGTTCGTAATAGTAAATTATGCTTCCAATAGTTGCTGATATTCCATGGCGAGCGTAATGAGAGTGGTGGTAAATTTCTTCAGATCCAGCAGTCTAGCGCCGTCAATTACCTCTCGGCATACTGGAGATTCTGAAGATTCTGCGGGAAGCTGTAAAAGAAAATTTTATTTTGCAATTAGTCGTTTTTATAGAGTTCTAGATTGAAATATGTACATTATCATAAAAAAGCACGCACATTTCCAACAGTAAAGTATTCATAATAATAGACTGAGTAGACTTTTGGATAAACGCGCGATTACTTGAAATGCGCATCATTTTAAACATTCGATCAATTTTCTATACGTGAGATAATAAAGGTTCTATTTTTGGACCTACAATATTTATAAGTGAATTAACTGATTTAACTCACCTCGCAAACGTAGTCACTCTCAGATTCAGTTTCATCTTCAGAGTCAACACTGAAGAATTCTTCAACTTCAAAGCTGCGATTGTGATACTCGATCATTTTCAAAATCTAAAGAAAACATATATAAACCTCATTTTCAGTAACGACGTCATCCACGTAGGCAAAAATAAGGCAATTATGGCTGAATACACAGCTCTCTTCCTCACGGCAACTGTGTGGAGAATAAGCAAGTATATATACTTACAAAATGTCCCAAACTGTTGGGAAAGAAACTCTGAAGTTTCATCACAACACAGATTGTCTCTCTTGCAGCTGTTACATTCGTAACATGATCGTTCGGGACAGAGATTGCGAGATTTTCTATGTAGGGACATTCGTATTGATATCTTTTGACCAAGGTCTTGATAGCCAGTTGAAGATTCTTTAGATAAACGCTGGGCTGAAAGGAAAAAATAAAATTACCTTGAGCATTCTGAGCATGTATGCTTCATTAGTTTAAAGCAAGCGATCGGAGGTCAGCGAAAGGATTTGCTCTTGTTAACTAATTGATACGTTGTTTCTTGCATGCTGTCTCGCAAACTTACTTCTCTTTCAATCTTCAAAGACTCCAGTAGTTCATCCTGCAAATCAATACTGCGACGACGTTTTCCAAATTTCCACGTATAGCCAAGGTTAGTTTGCCTATTTTGCCAGTTGTGACCGACTTGGAAGTTGTGGTTTCGACGATAGTTGGCGTTCAAATTTGTTTGCCTTGAAATGTCAATAAAATATGCGTAAATTAGTATAAGATATACTAATGCCTAGTGGTTGTCAGGTTGTGTTAATAGTTGCATGGACTGGCAGAAGGAAGACATAGCCTACACGCAGGTTCTCTTTTATGAGAGGTGCACGCCATACAGCTCCAACCTTCAACTTTACCGGTTCTAAACAACTCTACATTATAGAAATTGAACTTAGACAATTTCTTTCGAGCCAATAATAATTCTATACATGTCATAAGAAAATGCTTTATATTCTCAGTACCTGCATTATCCTCATAGATAAGCTAACTTAAAGATAATGTGCAGCAACATGCACATGCTTGAATCATGCTTGAATCATGCATGTTTGAATTAATGTGATACGCGGATTCGAGCCATGATTTTAGAGTAGCGAGTAAAATCGCCAACGTTCTTTTTCTCGATGCAGCGATTACCTGGATGGGAAGTTATGATTCACATTGGTGTTCCACCGATTACCACGATAATTGTAGTTCACTTGTCTGTAGTTGAGGTTTGTGTTGTGTCGTCCATTGTTGCTTCGATGATTAAGGCCGTTATAATTGAGATTGGTATTTCTCCCCACTCGGTAGTTGTAATTTCTGCTGTTCCATTGTGCCGAACTAAATAAAAAAGTTTCATTAAAAACCGCTTGCGTGAAACTGTCAACCAATTTAGAGCTGTGACAAGTTATCAGAAGATCACAATGAAAGCATTTATGTAAATCAATTGTATTTTCTCGATTTTTGTTTTCTCCCTTCATAAACCCGGTCAAAAATTTTGCATTTCATTTGTCAATATCTCAGCCATACTCTGTACAATGTGGATAGTCACTATTTGACTCATCAATTAATTTTTGCTCGTAGTAAATAACAATATACAGGTACAAAAATACACGATGAAAAGATAAAAATCCCCTTATTGTTTGATGCGGGATCACAGTGATCTCGAGGCATCAGTTTAACAAATAGGGACGTCGTTCTAAGAACAACTTACCTAAATCCAGCTGCCAAACAAAGAATAATGGAGAATAAGCAAGTTACAGTGAGCTTCATCTTTTCTTGAACCAAATTTTCTGGTAGAATATAAGTTTAACCCTCTTCGAGACTTCGACAGGTCGAGTATGAAACCAGTTGAAAAGATTGCGCCTTATATACTCCTGGTTGCATCTCAGCCCAGAGTAAAATTTTATCCGTTAATTGCTGTCAGGCTTCCAGCATTTCCTGTTTAGTTCTAGTTCACAGGCGTTCCAGCGTGTTTTATCAACTTCCTTTCAGAAACTTCTGAATAAGAACATGTAGGGTGTTAATTCGCTGTTATTGTCCGTCCAGGTTTATATTTCATCAAAGTTATTTTTTGTCATTTGATATTTGAGTTATTAGCACATCGCAAACGTTTTGGAAACCAAACGTTAATAAAATGCATAAAGATTTGCAGTGCATCCACGTTATACCTGCATAAATATATTCCATTTCATTTGACGTTAGCATTTTTTTGAACGACAAATAATTATTATAATATCCTCGAATTTGCGTCTGCGCGCAGGGTAGAGTCATTGCATGAAATTACACAGTTTACGACTTTAGGCGATGTACGTTATACAGTTGAATAGGAATGTTTCTAAATTTTGCTGCCGTTCACAGTCAAACAAAAAAACTCATCAACTTTCAAAAAGTACGTTGGTAAGCAACTATAATAATATCCGTGCATGACTATACGGGACTACAAAACAAACAAAAAAACATGCACAGGCTACAGCGCAAGAAAATTGGCGTGCATGAAATAAGAAAACTTAGCCTATCTATAGCAGTTAGGGCCATGCGCGTGATGCATGCGCGCGTGTGTGATGCTGTAAGCCAAATGTATTTTGATACGCGTTGAAAACACCTTTGGCATGTTCTTCCAGCTGAAGCGCGCGATTAATCCTAATTCCTAACTTCCCCTGTGACGCACATTAGGCATTCTATTTTAATTCGATTTACCACCTGCATGTGGTATATGTTCCGTTTCAACTTGTGGAAGCAATGATTGATATTTTTTGTGCATTTCAGTTATTAAAAATAATTACTGGCAACTAACTACAGTTTTCTGGAGAGTTTATGAGCGCGCTTTTCAAATATCGTGGAGAGGATACAAAGGAGTGAGATCGGACAATAGTTGTTTGCCAACGTATAGGATCCTCTTGTTTATGCAATCGAAGCAATTTGGCCGTTTTCAATTTTTGAGAGAAATAGCTATTGTTAAGCGATTGGTTAAATAATTAGTTAAAGACAGACTGATTTCCAAGGCTATACCTCCCAGTCCATTATAAATCTACCAGGGAATCGCAGGGATGTTGTCAGGGCCACTAGCTAGGCATCTTAGACCTATTTTATAAGGAATATTTTTACATCAATCTGACTATCTATTTTCCTATGAAACTGGTCCCGTTTGATTCATTAGGATGCTTTAACATCGTTCATACCGTTCCGTACGGTAATAAAGCATCCTAATGAATGTTGTCCGACTGAAGCCGTGATATTTTTAATCAGGATATTTTTAATTCACATTTACCTTGCTTTTTTAAAATTGAAAATACCACATTTGAATTATATCAGTCAATCTACCTGACCCTGTATTTTGCAAAACGAGACTCGCGAAGACAAAGTGTCAATGTGTCATTCAAGCTTCGATCGTCATCTCTCGTGTGACAGGAATTTAAGGACAGCGCATGTAAGAAATATTCGCATGTAAGGAAAGCGCAGTGATCTGAATTTCATTAATTGCATTGTTGTTTCAATTGCGCTGTTTTGTGAGTATCCGTTTATTTCTGGATATTTCAGACCGCATGCGGAGGATTACGCAAAGACGGCACTGCCGTGCCCTATGTCATTTTAGAATGTTTCGCTTGACGTCATAATCTGTACGTTAGAGGCGTTTCAGCGTTTATTTCAGCGTGATATTTATTGTTAAAGCTTTCTGAGTACGGCTTCAGCTTCCTTTTCAGCATAAAAAGTGTTTAGTTTATTTGCGCTTAGATTTTAACATGTCGCAACGTAGACAGTGGTCATTCACAATGCTGTCCTTGGATGTGATGATTTTTGCCGTATTGGTCTGGGCAACACAGCGGATTGTTGCCTTCGAGGTCTGTAAAAAGGCCGACGAAACCTGTAGTGCAAACCACAATGATTATTCTGAATTTGTTGGACGTTACACATTTCCAACAACTCCGATTAAGGCCGTCGAATGTAGAAGCGAAGAAGCCATAGCAGAAATGAAAAAGGGGGTGAGTAATGATTAACCACGTTAAACTCTTTGGCTGCACTTCAACAAAACCATCCTTTGAGTGTTTACGCACCTCCAAAAGCTGATTAATATAGTTTTTGTTTTATAAATCCAGGCTCCAATTGTTTTGAAAAACTGTCATTTTGGTGAGATCACACAGGGGTGGACATTTGAATATTTGAAAGAAAATTTACTGTCACCTAATCTAACAGTTTACAAGTCCCCAACACGAAGATTCTTATTCTACAATCGTGAGAGCTCCAAGGAAATCATAGAAAATATAACATGGAGTCCGCCACATAATGTGACTGAGATGAGTTTTATGCAGTTCCTCAATCAGATTGACGAACTTGAAAAAGCTGGAAATGGCACAAAAGCATATTTGCAGGTACAAATCAGGTCAAATTGTATTTAAAAAATGACGCCAAATTGACTGACAATTTCTACAGTCTGTAGAAGTAAAATGTGAAGACTATATTTTCGTCATATGTATCCGTAAATTCTGATTACAAAACTCTACGGTCGCGACGTCAGTAGATATACATTATAGTTCTAATGCTAATGTCTTATTTTATAGAGCAGTCTTGAAAAGGAATCTCTAAATTCAGATATGCAGGATGACGTGTTGATGTTTAATACGAAGTGGTTGAAAGATATGAAAGAGAAACTGTCATGGGGTAGACTCGATGTTAATCTTTTCCTTATTGGAATGGGCGGAGTCGTAACACCCGCCCATTACGATATTATGGAGAACCTATTTCTGCAGGTTGGTCCTAATTAACACACCAGCACCTAATTCGGATTAAACCACTAAGCAGTACTGTTGAATCAATAAAACAAATTACGATAATGTTACAAACTCGAATAAAATTTCTCGTTTCGTCACGTCAAGTGTAATTATCAAGAACAATGACGCAATATAGTAAACATCAACTATAATTCAATTTATACAGCAGTTTATGCATGTATCGTATATTTTGAAATTATCTTGTAGATTCATGGTAAAAAGCGATGTATTTTGTTCAGTCCAGAAAATTACAGGTTCCTGTATCCTTATCCTGTTTATCATCCTCATGATCGTCAGACACAGGTATCAGTACCATGCATCATAGTTCAAGGTTGTAGTAAATTAAAAACTAGTTTTTTTTTAAACCCTATGAGATGAAGAACGTTATTTCGCCCGCTTTCACTATCCGTTACCGGGTAAAACTTTGCCCAACTGAGTGCTACATACAAGGGCTATCGGTTGGTGGAAGACAATAATTATATATTAATTGAAACTTCAAATGACCTTTGGAACCTCACGCGGTTGACTGTTGATATTTTTTGTTGCATGTTCATTGCTCCTATTCTTAGACGTAATAGCTCATATTACTATTGAGTATTGACACCCATTAGATAAACTGTATTTTTAAGACACGGTTTAAAGAAATCGTTCTCTATTGATTTTTGTAGGTAAATTTTGATTTTCCTGACTTTGAAAAGTTTCCAAAATTCCGCAACATCACTGGTGTTGATGCTGTCGTTGGACCCGGTGATGTCTTGTACATTCCAAACTACTGGTGGCATTACATTGAGTCAGAGAGCGACAGGTATAGCATACGACAGTAACGCCATTAAAAACGTAATATTATACTAATATAAAAGCATATTAATGAATATTCCAAAGGCTAGAAATTTCCAGCCAGTTCGAAGATCATAAACATTTGAAGGGAAAAAACTTTTTCAATTGAAATTTATGACTTAATTCTTGGAAATTTCCTCCTTTTGTGGAATAGTACACTACAGTACCCAATTACAGTACCTTCCGTTCCCTACGTCTGGTGTTAAATGTTACTGTAAATCCTACTTGTAGCAGAACCATATCTATGAATTTCTGGTACTTGCCAAAAGATGCTGAAGATGAGTCAGTGGAGGATGTTAAAATGGCTGCAGAAGAAGAACAAGTTGAGAATATTCGTAACGAGAAAGAACCTAATCGGAAATCTGGGAAACAAGGGAAAGAAGACAAAAGTGAAATAGAAGATAAAGACGCGAAAATGGAAGAAGAGGGTGAAAAACAGTTCAATAAAACGAGACCTGTTGCATATACTGCAGGAGAGTTGATTGGGCTATCACGAGATATCGAGGCCATGGTTGGAGAGGCGCTAAATGATGTCAGAAAGGTAAAAAATATGTTACTAATCCACGTAGTGCAAACATATGCATGTTAGCATATATCATTACTGCACGTAATCGTACATCAACTTGCAAATCCAGTGTTTTTTAAAGCTAAATTAAACAATATTTTTAAATCAAATATATTCTATCTGTTACTGCATGCATCAGATGAAATAGAAGGATTTCTTCCGAGGGGATTTCGTCATAGTGCAAAAATATTTTAATTAAATTAATTTGTCTCGATTTACAGTTTTTAATATATAAATTCTAGGTGGGTGCATTTTTAAAAGAGTTGGTTGATGGACGCTTTGACCACGTTTGAAACAAGACAACGATACAATTCCGGCTGTTATCAGTTAGTAAAGAAAATGCGTTAAATATGAATTGCGTTTTAGTATGCACCTTTACTCCAATGAAACAAAAAGTGGTGTACTAGTACTGGATTACTGGATTACCTCTTATCATTATCGTGCAAATGGTTGGTCGCCTTGTTATTTATACGTCGCATTTTTGTCGGGTCTAGTGCAATTCTAACACTAGATAATGAGATGATAAACCTCATTGAGTTCAGTTACATATATTCTCATCTCCAACAGGAATGGCTCATTATCTCATATATTGTGTCAATTGCATTCGACGCGACCAAAATGCAACGTATAACTAAGCTAACTAAAGGCGTACATTGTACATAGAAGTATCTTTGCATGTAATTTATTATATGATACTGTTGATGTAATTTACACCTCACATTCCTTATGTGT